CTATGCACTGAAAATAATTGCTCCTTATGTTTTGGTTAGTTTAATATTTACTATTTACATTATTTTGACTACATGAAAAGATTAGCCACAGCTTAATGAGTATGCTATAATTATATTTCCTTCTTACAAACCTTTTTTCCTGGAGTTAATAAGTGATTTCTCTAGTGTTCTCTCTGACTCTTAATAATTCTTCCATTCAAATTGCTTGACTTTACTATAAAATTCCTCTCAATACGTAGTATATAAAATTTATTATTTCCCTTTTTTTAGAGATATCCACAGGAGAGAACTTTATAGGATTTAAGCGAAATGACTGACCGTTAGACTTGGTACACAACTTTATCCTGAAAATTCTGTTCCATGCTCACTTGTGTTGAATTCTTGCCTTCCTTTTGCCATGTTTTTCCTGCTGTGTTTATTTTCTAATTTGTGGGTAGCTATCTCTCCAGTAGCTTTTGAGAAAAGGTTAAAAAAAAATTAAGACTCTTCATATAATTTTAAGGCAGATATAATTTCCCATCCAAATTTTGAAATCAGATTTACCTGTCATCTTATCTGCACTGTTGTCTTTCAGAACTCTGATACCACTGATTCCTAATTCCTAATAAATAATCTCTTTTTCTCTCTCTGATGATATTTAGAACAATTTCCTTATCTCCTAAGTTCTGAAATTTTACAATAATATTTTTTACATGGTCTATTTTTCTTCCTTGCATCATTGCATCCTCATAAGTTCCCTTCAATGTGAAGATTTGAATCTTTTGTTCTGGGACACATGCTAAAATTGTTTTCTTAAAAAAATTTCTTCTCTTAATATTCTCTGAAATGCTTCTGATAAATGTTCCCTTCCAAGGTAACCAGTGAGTTTTCAAGTTACAATCAATTCTCTGGAGTTTACTGTTGCCTCTGCTATCTTTTTCAAAGAGTAATTCTAGAATAGTAGAAATCTGAAGGAAGAAAGGAAGGAAGATTTCTTCCATCCAGTAGGGAACACTACCTCAAATACCATTTGACTTGAATGTTCTGGAGGCAGAAAATTTACCTCATTCCGATATGTTCTCCTCTGTGAAGCCCTACCTGACATATTCACCATCCCCTGAACCACCAAGAAGGAAGTGAGGGAGGGAGAGAAAAAAAAGGGAAAAGAAGGGAAGGGAGAGAAGGAGAAGGGAAGGAAAGAGCAATGGGAAGGAAAGGAAAGGCAAGGGCAAGAGCAAGATCAGGGCAAGGCAGGGCAGGGAACTGATGAGCCCCTACTTGGTATTTGTACCCCTGTCAGTGATATTGTGGTCATGATAGAACTTATTATCCTTGTCTACAGGAGTTTCTCCCACAAAATTGCAAGCTTCAGTAGCAAAGGTAGAATACAGTATTTAGGTTTATATTTCCAATGTTTAGCCAAGTTTCTGCCACTCATTGGGTACTAAATAAATGCTTGATGAATAGTGATTATGATCTAACTACTGTCAGTTCTATAGACTGCACACTTGATTTCAGCCAGTGGCACTTCATTTGCACCTTGCTCTCTCAGGCTATAGAATCAGCAGTAGTCATTATTATCCAGCTCTTCTCTTCTAAGAACAACTGGCAAGTCAAATTATGAAGTGACCTTTTATTTTAGAGGCAAGTGCAAAATAGAGCACAAGCGTCTGATAACACATATAGATCAGTGATTCTCAAACTAGAATGTCTCCAATCTTAAATACGGTAGCATTTAATTAATTAATTAATTAATTTATTTATTTATTTATTTAATTTATTTTGAGACAGGGTCTTGCTCTGTCACCCAGGCAAGAGTGCAGTGGTGCGATCATGGCTCACTACAGCTTTGACTTCCTGGGCTCAAGCAATCCTCCCACCTCAGCCTCCCAGGTTGCTGGGTCTACAGGTGTACATTACCACTCCCGGCTGTTTGCATTTTTTTGTGGAAACAGCATCTCCGTATGTTGCCAAGGCTGGTCTCAAACTCCTGACTCCAGTGATCTGCTCACCTCAGCCTTTCAAAGTGCTGGACTTACAGGCATGAGTCACCGTGCCCAGTAATTTTGTTTAATTTTTAATGTATATACTGTATGCTATAAAATGCTTATGTTAAGGCATGGTAAGTGTTACAAAATTAACCCAAACAATTAATTCAAAATCACTTGTTTCTAAACATTCTCTGCACTAATATCACAAATTTGAAAATTTCACAAGTGTTTTCCAGAATCACTGCATCATTAGAAGTACATACGGTCTCTTGTAATGTTAATGTCATGGTGCTTGAACACATGCATTTAAAAAGTAAAAAATCCCCATGGAAATTCACTTCATAAAATCAACACCCTTCAATGACCTACACTTTTCCAGATCCTCCAACCAAATCCTCAGCAACTGAGCTCATTCTGAATGAAACTGCATGAATAGGATTACAAAAGAAATGTAAAAGAAATTCAAAAAATAAGTAGTTTTTTGAAATGTAATTTTAAATAAGGCAGCCCAGTGAGGAGGCTCACAGGGGAAGTCAGTCTTTTAGAAAGACTTCTGTCTCTTACAGGATAGATTATAATCAATTCAGATGATTTAGGAAATGAGACCTGTAAACTCAGATGCAATTGACAATACTCTAATGCTCCTATTTATTAATAATCTGTTTGGTCTTTAAATCATAGATTTATGTATAAAATTTATAAGTCTTATAAAATTTAAATAAAAACTGTAGATAGAAGAGCTTACAGACATTCATTTTATATATATATATATATATATATATATATATATATATATATATATATAAAACCACATGATATGAAAGGAAGGAGTATACCAAATGTAACGATGGTTATAATGATAATTGAGAAATTACATACCTTAAAAATAAAAGTGTAGACTTACAGAAATGATTTGGAAATGTTCAAAGAACCTAGATTAGAAATGAAGACAAGAAGAGTAAATGCTTTATTAGATTTATCTAATTTACAATTTCTCTTTGCAGTTAGATTGTCTCAGAACTTGTTGAACTATCTTCCTTTGACTTGATAGAAATACCTACTTGTCAAGGTTGAGTGACAGAAGTTAATGAATATTATTGTCAAGTCTTAAAGGCAAAATTTTTGTGTAATTCTTTTTTCCCCAAAAGCTAATAAAACTGTCTTTCTTCTTAGTAAAAGAAATGAAACCAGAATTCAGGTTCAACTTAAAATGTAAATGTGGCTTAGGAGTGACATTGTAATGCCACTTGGCATTTCTTAAGTGAGTCTGCTCTTTCTACACTGGATAAAAATAAAGAGAGAAAAGCATCTAAAACCCTATTGCATCCCAAATTTGCCCATGAAAGCAGAAATTTTCTGGCTTGCATCTATGCGTTCTTTCCACTTTTTGTAGCCTCCCACGTTATAATGACTTGTGCATGGAACTCAGAAACTTTATATTTTCTTTTGAGTGCAAAGTGAATGTCAACATGGAAAATGTGAAGGCTGACCATTTTTCAAGATGGCCACAGACCTCTGAGGGAAACAAATAGTATCCAAAAAGATATTTGGTCAGGCTGGGATACTAAAATTCTAGCACATTTCTTAACTTGACCAGCTTTTACAGGGTGGAAATGTTTACCTCTCAGGCATGTGCTTAGTCAGTGTAGCTCAAAATTTTTGTTGGGGAGTCAAGGTCCTTTTCAGTAGACTAAAGAGATCCAAAATCAGCACAGCAGTTAATCTTGTTTATATCAAAAATCAATAACTCAATCTATGGTGTGTGCTGACAGTTCTTGTGTGGAATAAAAACTAAAAGTGTCTGCTCTGTGAATGGGATTTTTCTTTCACAGTCCAACAATATAGTTTCATTGTGGGGCAAAACTTGGGTCAGTCATTTTTATAAGGTTGAATTTACACTGGTACTATTTGTTTCCTTTAAGGATTTGAAGAATTCAAGGCAAAAGTTTGGATATCTGGAACGTGTTTATATTCTGACCTTATCTTATGCATGATTTTCTTGTTTACTTAAATTTTATGGCCAAATTCCAACAGAAATATACAAACAAAACATCTTAGAAGCCAAACAGAATGAGAAGTTTCTGAGGAATTGTCTCAATTGTCTTATAGTCTTATCTTCCTTTTCATTCACTTGAATTCTTACATAAAATATTTAGGGCTTACACATACTAAAGATATATAAGAAGAAGGGATGAAGGTAAAATCTCATAATTCCATGGAGACAATGAAGTTTGTGGACTATCTAAGTCTAGACCTTACAAGCAGGACCCAGTCTGAATCTAGGCTCACTTCCTACATGTTTAACTTTAGTAAATTATTTAATTTCCCTTAAGTTTCAACAATACCAGCTTGCTAGCTGGTAGTAGCAGTAATAGGATGCATGTATAGATGTATCTGTCCTAAGGCACTTTAAATGGTATGTGTTACGCTTTCTAATCCATGCATTGTGTGTTGATATGCGCTAAACTGGATTATTCCATGTTCCTTAGTCACTCCCTGGAGTAAATACATACTGGTCATTTGGGTTTGGTGTTAGCTCTTTCACACACTAATACATTACACATGCTGTCTCTACAGCTTAAGTTTTGCATGAACAGTTCCCTGGTGGCCTTTGCTGTGATTCAAACCAAACAGTGAATAGATTTATTTAACAAGTTGTGTTCACAAAAGTAAATCAAGAAAGCATGCGAGCTAGAGCAACACGTTTCTTCCAGTGATTTTTATTAAGTATTGCATTTCCAATATTTTCTTAACGGAGTTTTAAGTGTTTATTTATATCTTTATTCATTAATGGACCAATCCAACTGCCTTTAAAAGTATTGCTGATGATTTTTATCACAAATATTAAATGTAAAATTTCCTTCTAGTATCAGGCTGCTTTTTAAAGAAATAACACTATTACAGCTACTAAACAGAAGCTTTATAAAATCTCTTAACTTTGATAGCACAGATTAAGTGTTCTCTTTACTAAGATATATTTTGATTTTTGAAGCATATCTGTGACTATATATTTTTTAAATTTTTTAATAGGTGGTGAAATGACAGAACTCACTCCCTTCTTTGATTGGTGATTTTGAAATAATGTTTCATCAAGTTCCATCTCTTTTACCCTCATATGGAATGTATCTCTCTGTCTGTTGTTAAATTACGATGACATGTCTGTAGCTATCAGAAAGAGAAGCTGGGAAGAACATGTGACCCAATGGGTGGGACAGCCTTTTAATTCTGATGACTATAACACAGCATGTCATCATGGACTAGTAGCTGACAGCTTGCAGGCAAGTATGGAAAAAGATGCAACTCTAAATGTGGACCGCAAAGAGAAATGTGTTTCATTACCTGACTGCTGTCATGGATCAGAGCTGAGAGATATTCCTGGGAGGCCAATGGGTCACCTTTCAAAGGAGGCAGATGAAAATGACAGCCATGAAGGTGAAGATCAGTTTCTTTCTCTGGAGGCCAGCACAGAAACACTAGTGCATGTTTCTGATGAGGATACCGATTCTGATTTATACCTTACAGATAATAAACAGGTTTTAACTACCCAAGGGCATAAAACGTCAGGCCAACACATGACCGAAGGAGCAGGCTCCTTAGAAAAGACACTGCCCATCACGGAAAGTAACCAAGGTTCTTATAACTCCTGGAGAACAGCTGGTAAAACTGAATTCACACTGGCAAAAGAAAGTGGGGAGAGAAAAGTTACTGACACTATAAGTAAAAGCCTGGAGCTTTGCAATGAAACAAGCTTAAATGAAATAAAAGATGCACCCAAAGTAAGTGCAGTTGATACTTTGAAAGATCTTGCACCTGAGAAACAATTGCTTAATTCTGCTGTAATTGCTCAGCAACGAAGGAAACCTGACTTCCCTAAAGATGAAGATGAAGGAAGCACCTGCAATGTGGTACAAGATGAGTTCTTGGCTATTCCTTGTACAGACAGAGGACTGCCATTATTAAAAGCAGATTTTGGAAGCTGCCTTCTGCAGCCTCCTTCCTGCCTCAATGGAATGTCAGCTGAAAATGGCCTGGAGAAGCGTGGTTTCTCAGAACATCAAAACAAAAGTCCACCAAAGGTCAAGGCACAAGATGACATGCAGTGTTTACACTTAAAAGAGACTATGGCCACCCAGGAACCCACAGATAACCAAGTCAGACTTCGTAAGAGAAAGGTAAGGTGTACGCACAGATTCTCTGGCTTTTGAAATTTTGTAAATAGCCTTGGATTCCTCAATTATTATTTTGCTTGGATTAAAAAGATGTGAAGATGTTTCTTTTGCTCTGTCATGTAGATATATAATTCAAAGCCTACCCACTTGGTGAAACCATCAAAATATGTAAAAATTAAAGAATAACAATCTATCCATTTCACTAATAATATGTATGATGATTTATGAACATTCTATTTCAGAATTGTGTTGAAAACAGGATTGGTATCCCTTTCTTTATTTGGAATTAAATTGCCACTAGATATCTCATGAGCATGCAGTTCAAGGTATTCTGTAGAGTGATTTCTAATTTTTATAAAGAAAGTTATGGTACTGTTTATTTAATAGCATTTATTTGGACATATTTCTTTTTCTCCTCAAAAAGAGTGTTTTCATAAGAAAAAAAGTGGTATAAATCACATATTTAAAATAATATCTTTACATATGCAAAGACAAAACTACTCCCACCCCCAAAATGTGCTGATGCCACTTTAAGTGATACCCTAGCACACTCACCTTCAACAGATATATCATAGTCTCTGTTTCTTGCCACAACTGTTATTTAACTGTGGGCCAGAAGGGCCAATACCTGAAATTATGTTTTATGCCACAGCCCCTTTGACTAATTCTAAAGATGCCATCCTGCCCTGTGAAGCTTCCAAGTGAAAGAAGCAAGGGTTCAGTTGGTGATACCTGAATTATGTTTTAGCGAGTGAACTCTTGACCAAAACCTGTCTCTTTTTTGAATTTCCCCACATTTTTCCAAAAAATGTAGTGTGTTATAGCCCTGATATAAGTCCAAGTACAGTGTCTTCTTCTATAAATCCCACAGGGCCATTAGCGTTGAAGAAACCCTAAATTTTTGACACTCGTATGCACCAATTAAAACATATTGCCCCTCTCTTGATATATTCATCCATAACTGCAATTTTCCTAAACACAAGACTAATTTCTTTGTTCTGTTCAATTGGGGCTATCGACCACAAGAAAAGAAATTTCCAATTTACTTTGTAGTGAAAAAATCTGGTTTTCATAGACTGTGGTTTTGCTAACAAAGTAGATCAGTAATGTGTCATGAGTTAGCTTAAATGAAGTCGAAGACTCTACAGCAAAAATCAGTGTCCACAAGCTTTATGCCAACAGCATTTTGTGCTTCTGGCAAACTCTCCCTTCCTTCCATAAGTTTTATGAAAATGGTAATGCTCCATAAAGTTGTTATGATTAAAATGTTTAGGTAACTTTTCCAAAAACTTTCATATATCCTATCAAATCTGTAGACGGAATGCTATACTGACATAAGACAGTATTAACTGACCTATGACATAGTCCGCTAAAATAAAACAAACTCCACCCAACTGCCAATAGAAACATTAAACATTCCAGAAACATATACTCACCACTTGAACATTTATATCAATACTAAGAATGCTGGAAAGAATTTACTCTTGGACATGTCACTAGTGCATGGTTATAACAGTGAGAGTTATAATTATATCCCATTTACAAGTTCTAACTTAAATATTCTATTTTAAGCATTCTGTCATTCTAGAATGTTGTGATATTGTCTGATGGAGTATTTACTTTAATTCTACAGCCCATTTAGGATGCCTTGTAATAAATAGATTAATGCAAAATTTTAGGTTGGGAATTTACCCTAGAAAACTATAGTTATGGTAGAAGCCCTTAAAACTAAAATGCATATGAATTATTGTTTTATGCATTATTGAATATTAAAATACTGTTTAATTGGCACTTCACCATTTTTTGAATTTTACCAGAAGAAATAATAGAGGATAGAAAGATATGTACATAGAAAGATATGTACATAGAAGTACATATCTTTCTCTGTGCATAGAAAGATATTTACAGAGAAGTTCATCATTATATTCCATGTTCTGAGAGAAAAACGAAACATTCTACATTTGCATCAATACAAATTTTATTATTTATCTATTGTATGAAACACTATGTTGCCATTAAAAAGATGAAGTGAGATCCATGAAAGAGGCTCATATTACAGTGTATCTGAAAAACAACAGTAGCAGACCAATATGTATAGACAGCCAAACCTTAATGTCCAAGTGTATATGTGTATGTGTATGCATATATATATATGTGTGTGTGTCTATATATACATATACATATATGCATATATATGCACATGTGTATATATACATATATACATATATATGTGTGTGTATATGTATATATACATGTGTGTATATATACACACATACACATATACACGTATGTGTATATACACACACGTATATGTGTGTGTGTATATATACATGTGCATATATATGTATATACATGTATGTATGTATGTATGTATACACACATGTATATACATGTATGTGTGTATATATACATGCACACACACATATATATACATACATGAATGTAGACAGTAGTATAAACATCTCTGTATGTCTGAATAATATGTGAAATCCTGGCTAAATAGGCACAAAATTGTTAGCAGCAATTACATTGGATGAGTGGAATTAAAAGATTGGAAGGAGGGAATTTTCACTTTTTACTCCATATAATTTTTATAAAATATCACAGAATTATGTATGAAATGCATTTCATGAACAGAAATACAAAAATAAAATCATATTTAATATATAAACTGAGGCACTTTCTGCATGGCACAAAGCAACCTTTTATCTGCATTATTATTATAATTATTACTTTTATAAATTATAAACAAGTATTTATAAAGTTTTTCACAGTATTAACAAGAGTTCTAATCAACTACTTGATTACTAATACTAGTGCCACTGATTAGAAGAGATAAGCTTTTTGGAGGTACACATGTGCCACATTTTCATGATCCACCTGCCTCAGCCTCCCAAAGTGCTGGGATTAGAAGCATGAGCCACTGTGTTCAGCCTATCTCTCAGTATTAGTTAGGATATAGATTTGGCTGCTATCTCAGAAAGCATAATAGTGGGAATGTGGTACCAAATGGTCAAATGGCAGAAAGAATTTGCTAATCGTCTATATATTTAAAACTGTCAGCCATAGTGATACCTGTAAGAGAAGAACTTGGGAAAGTGAAATCAAAGACTAATATCATTTTAGTTATGGATCAGCTCATTAATCTGATAATCATGTGTGTAAATCAAATCCTTCAACTAAATTTGTGCACATGGAATTTTTGTGTCAAGATAACATCAAGCTTCCAAGACTTGAAGAAAAAAATATAAGAGTTTATGATCTTCAAAATGTATTGACATAGTGCTCTAGAGATGTCATTGTACTCTTGATATAAATTATCATTCCTTGAAACCCATAAATCTTGGCAGGCATTCATTGTTTTGCAAAGTTTAGTTTTTCTTAGTTTCTAATGATATTTCTGACTATCAGGGTTTAGTCACACATATATTTATGAGGAGTCCTCAGTTGGAGGGGATTACATTTGTAGTATATGTAAACATCAACCTTTTCAGCTAATAATTCTCCTAAATACGATGAAATATATAATTAAATTGAAGCCACTGATATCAAAGGAAAACCAAACAAACTGTGAGCAAACATTAGTGAATGCACCATAAAGTTGAGTGACATATGACCAGCACTCACAGGGCCTGGCTGGTCTCTGGGGTGAGGTGGACAACTGGTTAAAAGCAATTTTGAGACAGATTCCAAAGTAGCCTGGAGGAGGGAGACAGTCTAAGAAATGGTCTCTTTAAACCAGATGAGATGTGAAGATGGAAAACATTTAGGGAAAGACTTGCAGTTAGACATTTTTTTCTTGAAGAAGTAGTGTGCTTGTTCTTGACGGTGGTTTACTAATTAGAGAGAATCCAAAATTCAGTCATCTGTGAAAACTAAATAGTCATTTTTTAATAACCATACTAATTATATAAATATCTGAACATATGTTTATTTGCCCACATAAGACAAGAAATCATCCATATCGCAAAGCAAAATAAACTCCAAAAAAGATGCAAAGATAATCTGAACTTTGAGAAGACATGTACTTCCACATTCCAACCAAAACATCATATTCCAACAACAAATTGAATTAATGTTAGGATCTTAGTTTCACTCTCAGGTGTGTGTGTGTTTGTTTGTTTGAGATGGTGTCTTGCTTCGTCACCAAGATCACACCCATGGTATGATCTCCACTCACGATAACCTCCACCTCATGGGTTCAAGCAATTCTCCTGCCTCAGCCTACTTAGTAGCTGGGATTACAGGCATGCACCCCCATATCTGGCTAATTTTTGAATTTTTAGTAGAGATGAGGTTTCACCATGTTGGCCATCTGGTCTCGAACTCCTGACCTCAGGTGATCCACCTGCCTCAGCCTCCCAAAGTGCTGTTATTAGAAGCGTGAGCCACTGTGCTCAGCCTATCTCTCAGTATTAGGATATAGATTTGGCTGCTATCTCAGAAGGCATAATAGTGGTTTAAGTGACATATTTCTGTCACACACATAAAATAGGAATAAAAAGTTCTGAATCAATATGTAGGCTCTCTGCCTTCAGAATCCACACCCCTTTTATCTACCTTCTCTGCTATCTTGAGTCCTCATCTACATTCAAGTCAGTGGGAAGGCAAAATGGTACAGGGGTGATTACATCCCCGTGTGCAGGTAGTACCCAGGTCATCGGCTTCACTGCAGTTTTCATGGGCTAGAATTTCGTCACAGTGGCCATATCTAGCAATAAGGAACTGACAAATGCAATCTGCATTCTGGACAAGCATGTGTTTGCTAAAAGTTCTAGAATCAAAATTATGGGAAAAGTTATACTGAGAGATAATCATAACATAAATATTGAGGAATAACATTCTAACATAAATATATTCCAATATATCATGACATGTTGTGAAAGAAATAACCAAGCTGCATAATGTTCTGTAGTATTCTGTATAATTACTAAGTGATTTAATTTCACACAACAGAATACCTTTCCTCGTTATGAAACCATTTGATATATTAAGTGATGTTT